ATCACTTACATCAGCAGTATTAAAATTACCCTATGGAGGATATTTATTATCAGGTAATAGATCAAATTTTATCAATTATGAAGGAAATATTCTCTGGTACTATACATTTTTGAAGACAAACGATGTTAAAGAAGAATCCCAATGTTCTACAAAAAAAAGTACGTTTTGTCGACATTCTTTTCAGACAAAATTTTTTTGGGATACAGCCGTCTCATATGGATCTGAAAACAGCCACAGTGTAGAACAAATAAACCCAAATGAACATAACTACTACCTTCTCACCCTATACTCTACTCCTATGCCATCGTTAAACAAATTTCCACCAGAAAGTATCAGAGCTATCGCTCGTAATCCAAACATAGATTTACAATCAATAGGTATATACTCTAGATCCGATATACAACATCACAATTAAACACAACAATTTCAAGAACTTCCTACTAAGCTGGACACTATGCAAAGACAATCAATAGATCAAAATTTAACAAAACTCACTGAAACCGCAAAACTTTCTGACATATATGCACAAGATTACAGCGGATAATTTAAAGATATAAGAGATTACATATATCTTAACGGTAAAAACAACGTCTACAAGATATCTCACCTATAACTTTTTCAGCTTTGTCAACCTAAAAAATGACTTTCTCGCTTTTCTAGGATGGCCCTATTACATCTTAGAAGTATTGACCATTTTATATGCCATGTTTAATTCTTTTGGATTTTTTCCCCATTATTGAAAAGAATCTGTAATGTGCAATACACACACAATTGAACTAGCAAGCAAGTGTAGCAAGTGTATTAATTGCAGGTTTTTTGGATTGTTTTCAAACTCCATTAACAAAATACTTCTAGACGGTCAAACAAATAATACAACAAAAAACTACCAACCACACCAAATGCATACGACAATTCAAAAGACAACAAAAGTACAACACCTTCTTCACCACAATTACACACTTTACATAATAATCATCCATTATCTTTAGTACCACTAAATTGCAGGAAAATAGCCCTAGCGGAGCACATCTCTACATGTCATAAATATCTACAGAGTCCAGTTACTCTCATCATAGCCCAGCAACCAAATATAGAAGAAACGTATGAACAAATTATAGAACAGCCACATACAACTAATTTCAGATTTCAGTTATCAGAACAACCATCTTCTAAGCCCCCAATGAGCCGCCAGATTGGATCCCTCAACCGTTCCCTTTCATACCCATCCAACTTTCAACGTCACTCTCCGATCTTAGCATTTTTCGATTTCATTCCCTATCTTTTATCATCATACACTAAAAAATCTGAAGCTAGTGAATCTACTAAAAAATTACCAATCACATCAAACACAAATAATACTTCACAAGACAACAGAAACCCAACACGTATAGCACCACATTTACAAAATTTGTATTATAACCAACCCTTATCTTTAGTACCACGAAACTATAGAAATACAACAATAACAGGGCACATACATCCAAGTAATAGCTACCCACAAAGCCCAGCTTCTCATATAGTAGTTCACGAACGAAATATTAACGACACATATGAACAGATTGTAGAATAACCACACACCGCCACTTTTCATTCTCAGAACAACCATCTATTTGGCCCACAATGAGCCGCCAGATTGGATTCTTCAACCGTTTCCTTTCATTCCCATCCAACCTATAACGTCACTCTCCTATCTTACCACTTTGCGATTTCATTCCCTATCTTTTATCATCATACACAAAAAAATCTGAAACTAGTGAATCTACTAAAAAATTACCAATCACATCAAACACAATTAATACTTCACAAGACAACACAAATCCAATACCTACATCACCACATTTACAAAATTAACATAATAACCATCCCTTATCTTTAGTACCACGAAACTATAGAAATACAATAAAACAGAGCATATCCCTCCAAGTAATAGCTACCACCGACACCGACTTTCCCCAATGACCAGTGATCAGCCAAACATTCTCCCCTAGATCCAAAATTGAATCACTAGAGCTTGAACTAAACAATTTTATCACTTTACATCAACAGCTTCAAATTACAAATACACTAGCATTTCATCAGCTATCACACTCCATTTCATCTTCTGAATCCTCCAATCAAACACCCATAGCAGTCAAAACCCCAGCCCACCTAGTACTCAAACAAATAATTCCCAATGCCAAACCCCACGTACTTCACCACCCCGACCGTTTTGCCTTCTCCCTATTCACAATTACACTAAAGAATTCTTAAAGAACAACTTACCATTTTCCAACAACACACTTATTACGAAACAATTACTTGTCACCAACTGATTTTTGTTAACGAGTATAGCATGTTCCCAACTTTATCATGGACATCTTACAACCACTTCACATACCCAAGGGCACTCCCCTTATACAATAACCCAGCCGATGATGAAATATGTCAATCCAGATTACACAAACTAACCTCGCACTGCATGAAAAACAGTTCATAACTATAGGACTAACGCAGACATTAAATAGATTCGTAGCACAAAAAGCTAGCGGATGTTCCATTAACCACTACAATCACGCTATTGCACGATATATGGAGGATACAGCTATAGACGATGACTCTAACACTAACCCTCAAATAACAAAAAAAATCTCATAAAATCAGAATATGTATTTATCATTGATGGCATGAACAAAAAATGGTTCAAATACTTCCACTGCACTCAAAAAAACTGCAATCAAAGCTTTTGAATCCGACTCTGAAAAATCTAACCACTTTAAACTAATTTTTCACTTCCTCATATCCAAGGAACGTGATTTGCACTGTTCACATGAAATTATATTGGGCACAAAATTAACTCACACATACGCCTATTATAATTTCATTCAACGTGACTACACAGCCAACGCAACATCGCAAAATTCACAGCGCAAATTTTTATTCACTAGTTCCAAATTTAGTACACCATACTTTCTAGATTTTGTTTATTGTATAAAAATACTAACATACACGGCATCCTCCGTAATTATGATCCCATCAGACAAAAGAAGGAAACTTTTCTTTTTTACAAAACGCTTCTTTTATAAATTTCAATTTTCCTTACTCACCACATAACTTTCACTGATAACGAATCTAACTTGTTTTCACACGTTTCAAATTTTCTCGTAACTCGATTGGAAGGGATTTTTAAAATATGCTAAGATAACCAGCGCGGCTTACAAACGCCGCAAAACCCAAGGTACCTAAACCGGATTAAACCTAGATTAAAATTGGATAAACTATTCTTTTGAAACTCACTTTCAATTCTATTGAAAATTAAAAAAAACACAAAATAAGTCGAAACACAAACGCAAAAAAAATAATTCTGTTTTTGAGAAAAGGACACAACAAAAAAAGACACAACAAAGAGACTCTGCTCAAAGATATCATAAAATATAGCCCAGTCCTGACTTCACCAACGAGCGGGACGTCCTGAGCATGCTCTATAGCCGGCCTAACCCACCGCGCTATACCCAGGCTTTGTGACCCACACTCTACTTTTGACGAGAGTTTTTCTAGGGTGAGCGCATTTTTAAAATAACTGAATTAAAAAAAAAAACGCTTCTGCGAAAAAAACTAAAAATAAATCTTAGCTAAAATTTGATTTCATGAACAAGATGTAGATACATATAAATGCAATTTGATGTGGAGATTTCTTCAGCCCAAGGAGCGAGCAGAAAAGGATATGAAAACTCAATTACATTCCCATTCTGGAATGGTAAATCTATTCAGTTTGTTGCCGTAGTCACTACCCTCAAAAATGTTATAAAGATGGGCTCAACATCGCAGCAAAGGAAACTCATTGAAACAGACCAGTAGCCATCTCGATGTTTATATGCATTGCATCGATCTAAAACCTTGACGCAATCACCCAAGACGACCCACGATGTACGAGACCCGTCTCTGAAACACGAATAAACTATTTTCTTTTCTCTACCCAAACAACTACATATCTCCTCTCTTCAAGAAGCCACTGCTCAAAATGTTAAAAGAAAACTACTTCACCCGTCCTTCACTACAATAAACAATTAAAAACTAAAAGTTCACTAAACCCATGATGGGTGTAACCAATTTTAAACTATCTCTACAAAATTTTGCTAACTAACTAATCATATTCCATCACCAACATTGACATTTAATAGTACTTGTAGCTTCAGCATCAGAACAATTTGAATAGAACTTAGACTACAGTTGTTCTCCTTCTAGATAAACTCCAAGAACTAACCCGCAAAACCAGTATACACTAGATCTTTTGAGACTGGGAGATATAAGAGTTAGGTTAAGATTGGTATTAGACTAAGAAGTTGCACGAACCTCTCCGCCCGAAAATAGGATAGCGTGACGAACAGACGGTGTACCTTATCTGAAATTACTCTATGAGTACACTACCTCGTTCATAACTCAGTTCGAAATCAGAAAAGCAACTGTGTTCAAAGGACAGTTAAAATCCAGCCCAGCAACCGTATTCAAATCTGGGTTAGAAAGATAACAATCGGCCCCGTTCGAAGTTAGGAAATTGATAAATTAGCAAGTGACCCATTTGAAGTTACACCCAATTAACTGTCTTAAAAAATTGTGTTATACGGCTTCAGCTGTTTTATAGTTTTCGTCTTGTCAAAAGTGTGTTTTTCGAGAGTTTTCTCTTTGCAATTATTGAATGTTTAAAAGTTCAATTGTTATACATATTTTTCACCTAACATTTTCATTTTGATGATGCGGTATAGTTGTTTGAAAAAAAAAACGTCCTCAGTTTTGAAATAGTTAAACATTACTTGAGCAATAATAATTCATTCACAATACACCATACTTTTTGTAAGCAATTCAAGTAAAAAAAACCTTGAACAACGGGAATAGCAACGTTAATTTTATTGCGCTACTTCATCTGAAAAAAAAGTTAAGTCTAGAAAAAAATATGTTAGACTCCGAAGCAACTATTGTGTAACTTTTATGAAAGAAAAAGAACCAGTAAATATAGAGTTACCTACTCATCTGGTATGAAGATATTGGAAGCTAAGACTGCTTTGCCTCTTTCGACGTTGGTATCGAACTTCCGCACGAGTATTATGATTTCATCGGCTGAAACAGCGTACTTACTTTCAATTTTTTTCTGTTCACAAATGGTTTGAATTTTTAGGCATTTAATAAGCATATGATGCCTATGAAAAGCAAAACAGATGATTCTGTGAAACTTAAAAATGAGGTCAAATCACAAAAATCAAAACAATAATTGTCAATTATATGCAAGATATTCAAACTGTTTTGAAAAATAAAAACATTTCTTGATGGCGTTTGGAAATTAATTCGACTGTGATCAAGATTTATTTGAAACAGTTCAATCTCAAAAAAAACACTCACCTTTCGTGGAATGACCAGATTCATGTGTGATACATAAGGCCGACGTGACTACCCATTTTCTGTGTATAACAGCACCAGCGCATTCTCTATCAAAAAAATCTAGCTAAAGCACAAAAAAGTGTTTAGAAGCAAGAAATATACACAACATATATATTTTTCTAGACACGAAACGAACACATTTTTGATGCCAAAGTTATCTGGGACTTTGCAAGTTAGTTGGTGAGTAATTAGTTATCTGTTAGAGAACTGTTCGCATTGCCCTTTCAAAAATTTTTTTAGAGCTATGTTGATCTTCAAACCATAAACTAACAAACAAAAAAACAAAACGACCTTGATTTAGTTACAATAAGTAATCAGAAGAATGTTGCAACTTGAAATTAACCTAGTGACTGTCAAACCTCATTAACCTAGTGAGTTAGAAAAATGTGCTCTTAAACGCGCAGTTGAGTTGACATTGAATTCAAAGAATCATGAGTTGTTCTCCTTGAATTTAAAACGTTCAAATGTTTATACAGCTTCCAAGTAACATGTATGTCTGATAAAAAAATCTTTACTTTAGTGTAGATAAGTTTAATACGGTTTTTTAGTGTAAACGAAACTTCAACTAATAACTTTTTGAGCTATATTGTAAGTTAACTACAGAGGAATTACCAACTACAAATTGAATTTAACATATTCAAAGTGTATGGGTTCTATTCATGCTGCACAGAAGTTTCTTAGCAAATAAACTTAAAACAAACCTGATATACTCAAAACAAATTTCCATAAAAAGACCGAAATTACGAGGTCAAAATTTTTACTTTGCGTATTGTAAGCGGATTCCGGAACAGACCAAAATCAAATTTGTTGCGGAATCCACAACATTGTCACTTCTATTTGATCTTCTTTGCTGTTTTGGATTCCACAAACAAAGGCTAAAACACTGTATTGCTTAAAATCGCTCCAAAAACAGGAAATGTTGCGGTATCCGGAACAGTTAAAGGAATCCACCAGCAAATATTAAAATATGTGTTTAGTAAGTTTAAGCCGACCTGGAATCCGCAACTATAAGTGGATTCCGTAAATTGTAAGTGGAATCAGCAAATTGTAAGCAGATTCCGCAAATTGTGAGCGGAATCTTCATAAATTTGCGGAGTCCACTTACATTTGCGGAATCCGCTTATAATTGCGGAATTCAGAACTACTAGTTATTTTCTCCTGTTGCGGAATCCGACAAAAAATGTGCACAAATCGAAATCCGCGATACAATAAATGTTCTCCGCGACAAAAAAAATTAAAAATTAGTCTCTGGAATCCAGGAACATACAGACACAACATTGTGCGCCTACCCAGTGCACAGTTTGGCCTGGTAAGCGAATAAAAATCTTTTTAGATAAGATTTAATTCAACCAGCATAAGCTCAAAAAAGCATAGAACAGTTTTCACAAATAACCTAATATGCAAAACAAAAATATGGGAAAGAGTGTAGGAAACAAATTACTTCAAAAAACAAGGACCAATGAATTTTTGATATGTATTTCACCCAGATGTAGACATCAGAAAGTGGTATCTTCAAGATTACTATCCTTTGCACTAGCTTGGAAGTAACCGATCCAAGAAGTATTGGGAAAAAATGGAACTGAGAAAAGGTAGACGCACCTTTAGAGCCTTAAGTCTAAGCCACGATATGTATATTTCATTGTGAAAAAAATTTATGCAGAAAACAAATATAATGGAACTTTGGACCCAAGCCACGACGATATCTATACTTCATTGTCATACAAATTTTTGCAGAAAAAAAACACCATCGAATTATTTTCAGAGGCTTATAATTTTATCTTTCCCTCTACGAATGCTCCTGAATGTGACGCCCTATCAAGCTGATACCTTTTGATTAACTACCTAGTAAGGACAGTTCGCATCTACACAAATGTTCAATTGACAAATTAATGAGACTGATTGCAGTTTTGCACGATGCGGCAAAGTATACATCACTGATTCCATTTACGGCTAATAATTATTGTGGAAATGAAGAAACAGCCTGATTGGTCATTTCAGTAGTTTTTTCTTAAGTTTGACCATATAACAGAAAAAAATATATCAGTTGATAGATTTTTGCGCGGCTGATTAGCCTAGAATTGAAAAACTCTGCTGAAGAAAAATATTTTTAGAGTTGAAAAAAGCCAATACAATTCCGGGTACTAAGACACTCTTATTGTTCTACCTTCTGTCAGTTTCGAGTCAGTTCTCAAACTGAAAAAAAAATTATTCAACCTGTTGATGAACAACTCGCAAGGATTTCACTGGTAAAGCGGAGATTTTTTATATTTGAACAATAATCAGGTTATTGAAAGTTTCGAAGTTAGTGCCTTGTTATACAATGAAAGAAAAAGAAAAGACTCAATTGTTGGCAAAATAATGGAAAAACTGATGACTTCAGTTGTCCAAGAAATGAAAATTAACACCTGCTATCAAGATGTTTACTTCATTGCAGCTACACCAATCACTGCGCCATGAAAAATAAGGAAATCTGTAATCTGTATTTGAAGAGCGAGCAAAATTGAGAAAAAAGAGCAAAGTTGGTGAGTTACTTGTCTCCAAACTCAGTCTCATGTGCTTGGAGAGAAAATGAAGACAGAGAGTGGCGTCAAATTATCTTGGTTTGAAAAGAAAGCATGGATTGCAGTAGAAAAAAATGAATTACAAGTTTAGAAAAACTGACTATTCAATTAAGTTCAATTCAGTTATTGACAATTCGATCAACTTTGAGCGATTCAAGTATACTGGAAACATTAGCAAACGAGAATTTTATTTTGCTAAGCTAGACCTAGTCACTAAATTTTAACCTTGAGTGACTTGACTGGGCAATTTCAGATAATAAATAATATAACTCAACAAGACTGCTCGTATCAGGGCGAAGCCCTGAATGTTCCGACTGCCTTTTAAGGTTTATGGAGCAGTAATAACATTAAAAACATCAATGAAATAAAACAAAATGAACATTTTTTTTTCTTCGAAAACTTGAAACTTTTTATGAAAATCATCCCCCCACACGCCATATAAAGTACAAAAGGATAAATTTTGCTCCTTGTAACACACCATTTATGGCAAATAAGCTTCTTTTAACTAATTTGGAACGATTTCTAAGACGGATTAAATCTCCGCTTACGCGTTAATAGCGCGAATTATATTGCGCGTTAATTGTATTAAATTGGCCAAAATGGCAATCTTTAAACCCCCGTAACCTTACGAAAAATGATCACAGGTGAAATATCTTTTCAAATTTGAGCTCAGGAGAACAATACCTTTCGAATGATATAAAAAAATTCCGTCAAAAATGGCTAGTTAAAAAGTCGAAATTTGTCTGAAGAAAAAAAAACCCACCCGAGCACAAATATTCCGTTACTTTCGTATCGGAAGTCGGAACAAAAAGAAACTAAAAAATGCTCAGCAAAGCAAAAAATTTGTAGCCGATTTGTGCTTTGATAAAAGATGCTAAATATTACGCAGTTATTCTCCATACAAGATTTTTCAATTGTATTATATATCATTATTTCGTTTTTTTTTATCAGAACACAACTCTTTTTCCTAAGAATGAAACATTTGATACAGATAGAGAGACGAAAATAGCAACTGATTAGCCTAATGCTACTATGGTTAATATTTTTGTTTTTGATCAAACACCGAAAACTGACAATCTCAAAATGATGTTACTTTCCCTTGATTAGAAGTAGTTTTCCGGTCTCAAAACATTTAAGTTTCCTTTTTGCTAATTTTTAAATCCTTATACTATCATTGAAGCAGCAAAGCTGGGAAGAAAAATCAGTTTGGTTTTCAGTTTTGTCAGTTTTAAATTTTTTAGTTACTGCTCAACCCAATGAATAGAAGAAAAAAAACATTGATACATCTGCAAGACTATCTAAGGTAGTTGCGCGCGCTTCGGAATCCATAAAAAAACCCTAATTAATTGGAACCTGATCTAAACTACATTTTATGATTGGATAAATTAGATATTTTACCACTGTAAAGTATTTAATATTAACCAATCATGATCCATCTAACTAACAACCCACTTATTTGTAAATGCTGGAATTACTTGTAATTTCAGCACCAGAGAGATTTGAATTTAACTTATAAAATAGTTGACTCTCCAAGAAGACTTCAGCAGCCGCAATAAACCAGTATACCCTAGATCTATTGAGCCTAGCAGAGACTAGTTAAACACCCTGAGACTAGATAGTATAAGAGTAAGATTAGGATCGGTATTAGACTAAGAAGTTGCACGAATCTATCCGGCCGAAAATAAGATAGCGTGACGAGCAGACGGTGTACCCTATCCGAAATTACTCTATGAGTTAACCACCTCGGTTCTAACTCATCTGGTGCGACCATAAGTCTCGAACAAGACCTTAATAGCTTAGAATTAACCAAAAATAGATTAGAAATTAGACAAAACATTTTTAAAATGTTACACGACGATAATTTAATCGAAATGTCTCTACGACTCAATAGATCAAAGCCAATATTCCGAACGATAAGAGAACTACCCGGAATTGGAAGAAGAGCTCGAACCAGAGACGACATACGACAAAGTAGAAACTTACCAAATAGTTATATGATAGTACGGCAAAAGCCAACACAAACTTTTATATTTAGAATCTTATTAGCAATGAATTTAGATTTTCATTTGCAAACTTAAATCTTAAAGTCAATCTTCATGATCATTTCAGGCGCTAAACAAAATATTAATATACAATAACGATTGATAAAAAGATCTTAGATCGTTTTCCTAAAACTCTGCAGTAATATACAAAACATGTTTGAAAAATATTTATTGGAAAATCAAAACAAAAATTAGTAGCATGACAATAAACTGTTAGTAATCATAAATTATCCAATTGTCCCAGCTTCATCACCTAAAACATAACAGCAATCATAAACTCACTAATACCATTAAAACACTAAATCTTTTCCTTAAACAAATTTAAACCATTTTAAACTTAAATTCACTTAATTTTCAAATCAGATCATCAAGGCTTATCCTTGGATCTTAATTCATTTTCTATTCAGTTAAAATTTAAACTTGATCATCAAGGCCTATCCTTGGATCAAAAAGAACAATTT